TTTAAAAGCAAGATAGAAATCTTGTAGAGCGTGCTTTGCTCTATCGAATGGTACCTTGAAACCTATCTAGGAACAAAAAGTTCAGGATTTATTGCGATTGAAAATCAAAACGGACGGAACTTATGGGACAACCTGATAGTTTTCCATATTTTTTGAAGAGGAAGGGCATGCATTTACCTCAAAGATGCTTAACTTTCAAAAAGCAGATTGACTGAGGCAATGCAAAACTAAAAAACACAAAAGGATTCGAATTTAAACCTGCACCAACTTAAGTGGCTATCGCTTTGACCACTACACCACAGCCTACCAGAAATATATTGCACTCCGATTTTATTTCCCTGGTCGGCTAAACTTAGCTCGAAAATCTTCTATAACTCCTTCCAGAAAAACGATCAGCAGAAACGGAACTAAGATTCGGAATCAGCGTTTCGAGACGAATATAATGGTATACATCTCATCTCGAAAGCCACGGACACTAAGTATCGTCCACTTGCAAGGTATCGAAATAACACAAATCCATCTTTTTCTCACTAAAAAAAAGCTTAACGCAGGTGTATCAGCACTTAAATGATGATGACGTGATGCCCGCGAGTCGATGAGTATGCCAATTTTGCGCAGGAAAAAGTCCATAACTTGCTTCGGAATGGTGATCGGCAGCTACGAATAGCATATTTGGAATCAGCGTTTGAAGCTGATTCAGAACATATATGTCCCTTACCAAAAAGCCGAGCTAAGTTAGGTAGCTTTCCTTGCTGGTTATAAGAACACTCCAAATTTGCCGAAAATAATCGGTAGTCTCTGAAGACACGAAGCGTTTGAATTTTGCCTCTTAGATTTCTGAGGCAGATTTCAACTTCATTTTAGTTATATCCGCAAAATACTTAACTTAGTTTGCAATTCAAAAAATATCTTCAGTGTTCGCAAACAAGGATTTCGAGAAGCGCTTCAATTTGTGCCAAAAACAATACTAATGGATAATCTACAAAGAAGCAAAGTTTTACAAGGGGGAGGAGCTTGGTTTGGCAACTCGGCTGTAAACAGCAATAGTAAAAACACAACGAAGAACTTGCATCGGGCAGAACAGCAATGACGACACAAACATGGCGGAACTTGTTCGATGACTATTTCTGATTTTGCCTGTCATGCGAACAAAAGAAAGACTATATACCTAAATGCATCAGCCTGAAGTGTCACAAAGAGAGGAAGAGTCGAGCTTATTTTGTTGAAAGCCAGGTAAAGTCTCTTTATCAACAGGAGTTCATAGAAAATATGAGGGAGCATTTTTTAGAAAGTTGCGTGACTAACACGAATTGCCCAATTCTAACTGATTCCGTGCGCTAGGGAACGGAGAGCGTTCAAGCTACCAGGAATAAGACTGAATCAAAAAGTTTTCATCCTCTGCTAAATTTGTCTGAACAAAACGTTCGACTGCTTTCTTCAAAGTTGTCATTCTGAATGGCGAGTCGTTGAGTTGGTGTGTTAAGAGGAAGGCATACATCATGCTTTTCATCGCCTCGAAATATGCACAATAAGGCAACTGCTACGAGTTCATTGCATGCTGATCACCTTGCATATCGGTTGTGATAGTTAGCTGAGAGTCGTGAAGAAAAACTATCCAACCAAGACGCAAGATGATCTGCATGCAATGAACTAGTAGCAGTTGTCTTGTCGGGTGGATCGCGAGTCGATGAAATCGCGTGATGTATACCTGGCCCTTTAGTTGAACAACTAACAGAATATCAGTAAAGTCCAATGCTTACTGAAGGATTGGACTTCACTGACATGTTAAAACGAACAGTAGAAGTTCCCATCGATGTTTTCAGCTAGATTTGGGGATTTGAATGTTTCCCTTTTTGTTCATTCTGGCACTTCCAAACATCATTACATATTTGTCGATAGGGATAGTAGTGCGAATAAAGTGCTGTATCCGGTTTTGTTAACCAGGGTTCAGAATCATCAATAGAACTTTCCAGTTATAACATCAAATTCTAAGATAGTGACTTCGTGTTTAATTCGCGTTTGGTAGATTGGAACGAGTTCAGATGCAGTTCCTTCACAGTGCCAATTGGGTCGTATGCACGAACAAACTTCAGCTTGTTAGAAAACAGAAACCATCACCGAAGCTGGAATGGGACTTTCACATGTCATACAGAAAAAAATGAAGTTTTTTTTTGTTGATTTAGTGTATGCATGTTCTTACTACAGGCATTTCTTTGCTTGCTTTCATTAGTAGGGTGACACCTACTTCCTACTATATTGATTTGGATGTAAAATAATGCCACTTTTTTTAAACTTTCTATATATTGACTTGGCAGGACATATTGCCGCTTTTCAAAATTTTACATGCCTATTGATGTTAATCATAGCACGCCACGCTGTCTTGTTGAAAGTTAATTACCCAGCTCATGCGCGCCTCTCTTGAGCGCGATGCAGACATATCGTGCCGGAATTTTTGTTAACCTCTGCCATTGGATCAATTAAACTCCTCCTATTTTTTACCCTTTAACTCCATTTCTGAAAGGTTCACGTTTTTCTTTCCAGTATCTGCTTGGCATAAATTTTTCGACCTGCGATTGCATTTCAGGTCTTCCAATTTGCAATAGTCAACTAAAGTGTCAGATTGTACAGATACGTTCAGCACTCTCAGTTGGGCATTGACAAGCAAAATGGAGACCTTGAAAGAGCCCTAAAATGTGCAGAACTTCGCAAGTCCGCAAGTCTTGTAAAAAATTAACGCAGAGGAAACAATCAAATTGATCGCAGCAAAGAATCTACCAAGATTCATTTTTCGGTTGGACGAAAGGTAGGGGTGAATCAACTAGTTACACCAGATATAAAGTTACGCTTGAAGATAGTGCTGTGTGTTGTGCAGTTGCGCTGTGCTGGCCTGATGTGCAGTCTCTTCTCTGGAAAGCAAGTAAAATGTACTTAGCATACCATAGAGAAGAGACATTATAAGAAATCTTTCCAAAGAATAGGAATGGAAAAAAGATCGATAAGAGACTCTTAAAGGCAGTGTCCAGGCTAAATCTAACCCCCTCCGATCAGTGTCGATCCTGAGTGCAGGCCCCAGAAAAGGGCCATGTGCGATGGTCCGGTCTTCTAACGTTGTCTCTGGAAGGAGATAGGGGGCCTCAAAGTCCCTGGCTGGGCGGAGTCTGATATCAGACTCCGCCCACCAGGGACTGCTCACTATCTTGTCAATACGTGCCTCCCGACACGTATTGACAAGGTAGTGAGCAGAAGCTGCACATCCACCCTGCAATGCAACTGCACCCATGCAGTTGCAGCTCCTTCCCGCTGGCCTGCCGACGGCGACTAGCGATTCGAAACTCGTCCACGTCCTCAAGAAAGGGTCCCCAGAAATCGGGTTTTTTGTGAATTTTGGCGAATTTGAAGTTCAGAACTGTAATCAAGGCCAGGAAAAGGCCCCAGAATGACGAAAACATGGGGGCCAAATTCTGGGTGGACGCTGCCTTTAAAAAACGGCCAAAGCAGGATGCCCAAATGAAGTACGCAAATGCGCAAGGTCAAAATGAATTGACCTCGCACTGAATTCTGGACTAGTTCTGTAAAGCACATGAGTATCAAAGCAGGCTGTGATACCAATCAAGGGCGGAACGTGGAGGGGAGGGGAAGAAGGGGGGGGGGGTGGTGTTTCCTCTCCTTCTCCTTGAGAATGGGTAGGAAATTTTTGAAAGTTGCTTACATGAGCTATAAAAATAAGCAAGCCGTTTTCGTTTCCTACACTGTTCTAAATGGGATTATAAACTGACATGATGGTGTTTGCCTTTCCATCCTTAACATTCTTTGTTCAATCCAATGTACAGGGCTTTACAACCTGAGTGTCACAGCCGCCCCGCTCTGCCGCCACGCTTAGGTCCGCGCAGCGTTCGGGCGCTGGGTGGGCGTGGACTGAAGCTTGGCAGAAGCCCGGGCGATACGCCGCAAACGCCGCAAGCGGCCTGAGCGAGGCGGCCGCGTTGGAGGAGCAGGCTGTGACTCTTACGTTAAAAAGCCCTGTATTATTGACCTCCATTTTTTGTTTTATGGAACGTCTTGAGCGTGCAAATAAAAATGAAAATATCTGTTGCTTTATTTATCTGTTACTCGTGAAGCCCATGATTTCCTTTTTGCACCTATTAGGTTGATGCATAATTCCTGCACCAAAATTTTTGAAATTCTGTTACTTTATCCAAATTCAATGTAATCTGCTGATCTGATACATACTAAAGAGAGGAAATCTTGCGCTTTCTGCTGGTACTCGAGCCAAAAGTCCTTGAGCGCATACGGCAACGATATGAGCTGATTAAGAGAAATATCCAAAAAGCAACTTTTCGATTTTTGATCACTAAAGTTGCTAAAACGTCTACTAAAATTTAAATTTATTTTTGGTCCCAGTTTTATGACGTACTCTTTTAAACTAAGAGAAGTTGGTAGTGATTGGATGTCTTTTCGAATAGTTAAGAATTTCGATTTTTAAAAATGACTTATTGATTTTTTTTCATATCGATTTTCTAAAATGTACTACAAAACTGGTTTTGATACACTTAACAATAAGCATAATCAGAAATTGATTGATTTGTTTGAGCATTCTTAAAACGATTTTTTTCTATTTTTTGGTGCAGGATTTATGCATCAACCTAACAGATCCTTTGTTACATAGGGTATTTGATCACTCCGTGTCAGCACAAACGAAGCTGAGAGAAGCGGGGGCCGAGTATTTGCTAGATAGACCGAGTTACAATTTCAATCAAATCATATGAACATTACAAAGGCACAACCAATGTTACACTTGCACTTATATAAAAGCGATGCAGTCCGGATAAAATACGTAGGCGTGAGGAAAAGCAGTTAAAGTGCGCCATTGTCTGCTCGCAAAGCTTATCATTCATAAGAACTTAGCTTTTGCCTCAGTGGATCCAGTTGAGCCCTTCAGCTTAAGTATGAGAGTTTTGATAATTATTGCCCTCTCGATATATATCTCCTTCTCTATCGATATGGATCATCCAAAATGTTATTGTTGGCCCGATTTGATAAAGGAGCTCTGTGATAGAAAATATGGTAGGTTATTAATTACATCAATTACCCTGACCATTGCATTAACTTCCAAGCAGAAGATGTTGCTTTTAGAAAAACATATTATAAGTTTCGTTCAGTGATTATTGCAAAAGTGTACGGATCGCTGACGCCAAACACTTGGTCACGCAATAACGACCGACAAAGTAAAATCTATTACAATCTCACTCGTGTGGTACACCTTGGAAAGGTAGCTTGTATTATCTTTGTTTTGCTAAGATGATGTCCCTGCTTAAGATGAACCAATCAGAAGATCAAACTTTTATGACTGCCTCAACACCAGCACACGTCGATAATTGCACTGTACAGCTCAACCTATCAAGATCTTATCTAATTACAGGCAAGATTTCTGCATCTCCAAAGTAGTGATTTACGACATCTTTTTAATTGAACAAGTGTTCAGGCGAACCTAAGGGACGTGAGCTCGTCATGAGTAGATGTAGTCTACATCACCCATGGAGACTGGGACGGAACTATACATATGAGTATTTGAGACGAGTTATAGCGGATACCTGCGCAAAGCATGGAAAAAGTTTCTTTTTCAAAGTTTTGTGAAGTTGTTGGTATTTGTTATGATTGCCGCGAATGCGCACCACCAAATATAACAGCCTGTCACAATCTCTATCAAGCCAAAATTGGCATGGCGGGAGTCCGCGTCGTCAGCGTAGTGCATCACACCTACGACCAGTATGTCTGCTTTCTCTTCAATCTCTTCGCTCTTTCCAGCTGCGGGCATATACACAAACCCTTAAAGGCAGTGTCTCACCAAAATTGAGGTCGCGCGGATCTTCACATATTCTATTATAGGGACCTCTAAATAGGCCTTTGCAACAAGTCCCATTCAATTTGACTCCCTCCATGCTGAGAAAATTTCGCTCAAAGTGGTACGCGGAGAGCGAGTTAGTACGCGCGGACGACTCCTTCGGTCTCCCCCCTTACGCGTTTGAACATGTCCCTCCACTTGGCATCCACCTCCCCTCTGTTGCTGCCAATGTGGCTGAGGCTGAAGTTGGAAGGTATAACTCGTCCACGTTGCTTCCGCGGGGCCTCCAGAAAACGGGGTTTTTGGAAACTTTGTGCATTTTTAAGCCCATGCAGTGCTAGACAGGGTCCGACAGGCTCGCAAAATGCAAAAATCTTGGCAACTAAATTTTGGTGAGACACTGCCTTTAATGCTGCGATCGCGAAATTCATGCCAACGATTCGGCCTGATCCCGTTTGAGACAGACTGTACTTTTACTACTGGATGTTTCTGCTTCAACAGTATTTGACAAAAAGTCGACAGGTTTTCGAGAACGATACTCAGGTTAAGAATATATTGAATTTCATCTTTTTGTATTATGATACAAGATCTCTAAGCCTAGAGCATAGTGCAAATGATTTTGTCGAAAATTCGACCCGCACGCCGACTGTAACAAGCCTTGGCGTGCTCAGGTACCGTTCTTTCCAATTGCCAACCGTTCTTTATTAGGGCATAATCTTTGGTGATCGCCTGTTTCCAAGCTCTATTTTCATGAAGATATCTTTGTTTTACGCCAAATCTTGAATCAATGCTGAGTGTTAAGTGAAAGCTTTGCTTAGCAACGTATTTGGTATGTGTACCGTAATTTGCATTGTCCAACGCACTATGCAAATCACTGTACACCCGCGAAACAGTCGAAGAAGCGTGATGAGTCCATGCGCAAGGGATGAGCGGGGTCTCTTTACGATTCCGACGCCCACGCAGCCAAGATACGCGGCAAAATCGTGATCGCGACGATACTGTGTGAGCTATGTTCAAGGCTTTATAGATCAAACAATCGCGTTTGTTTTCTTGTAGACTATACTCATAAACATAATCGATTTTATAAGTTAAGAAGTGTTTTTAATCATTTCAGCAATAAAATCTGGAAATGAGAGCTTTGAAATTAGTATTTACCAGTGCAACTCTGCTTCGCAAAGGCTCGCAGTGGCTCTACTATCGCCTTTTTTGTGATTGCATAATAATGATTTTGAAACCCACCGCGCAGTGCTGAACATCACAAATGAATTGGAAACAACTGCTCATTCTCAAAAATGTCCCATGTAAGGGGTGGAGGTTGTGGAAAAAATTTTTCCCGCGAAAAAACAAATGCGAATTTAAATGAATTACTGGAATCATTACAACATCACTGTTCCCACAAGGATAATAAACCTTATGGACAGCATTCTCTGTGCAAGAATCTTTTCATTTATCGGGTAAAATCTTGACTAATCGACCGTTTACGCATTCATTCTCTTTTGCCTTAGCAGGAAAACGGACCTTTAGGGCATTTTTTAGAATAAAATTCATGGATCGCAAATTTATTTGTCAGACAACCCGACATTGCAAAAAGTCGAATGGGCGGCTTTGGCGTGCCAAAAGCCGAGTGGACCCGCTCCAGGTGCCATTTTGAAAGGACCCACCCATCGGATCCGTTCGCCACTATGCAGGGTGAGCCTAGACGCTGCCATCGTAGACTGTGCAATACTTTAGATCGAGATGTTGGCTGCAACTCGCTTTATGAATTTCGTGAGACACACATACAGATACACATACACATACACATACACATACACATACATATACACATACACATACACATACACATACACATACACATACACATACACATATACACATACACATACACATACACATACACATACACATACACATACACACATACACAAACACATACACATACATATACACATACAGATACACATATACACATACACATGCACGCTTAGCGCTCTATTATAAGTCGATGATAAGTCTTGCTTGTCATCGGGTATACGCATATCCATTCCGGTGTTACTGCTCGATGATGTTAAGCATGGTTTGCGAACAGAAGTCAATTCTAATCTTGCTGATTTTGCAGAAAAACCAAAACTGTTGCTTTTGGTGTACATGTATGAGAGCCATATCATTGTATGGCGACAAATTTTAGAATAGTTCTTTCACTTTTGCAAAAAGCCATTTGTTTCCAGCAGAGCAGTACAAAGAAAGGTTACCGTACGTCAATGCAATAACAAGATTTTGCTGTTTTTATTCTGGTATCAAAAAGGAAAGTGCAAGTCATGGGTCATCGCACGTGGAGAAGGAAGCCGTGGAGTCCATCTGAAATAGTTTGCTCATGTAAAATACGGCAGACCTAAACCTTGAACTGCCGCTTTAACAGAGGAGCCAGACAGCGTCAATGACGCCCTACTCTGCCTTCCCGCAACAATGGACTCTGCAATGAAGCATAAAGTTTATCCTGTCCCATTCGCATACCGATTGACATTACTGTGCAGCAACGCTAACAGGTTGCACTATGAATAATCTGCACTACTACAAACGTTTCGCGCACTTCCTGCTCCGCAGTGATGATGGCCAGTCCGTGTGGTTGACAGACAATGTATCCATATAGCGCACTGATGGTCATCAAAATTGCGTTGCCTCTCCCCGAGGGAGGCGTGCAAGTGGTACCCAGACAGCTGGCTGCGGCAGCCAGCCGCCAGAGCTGGCGTCAGCGCAGCCGCATATGGTAGGATAATTATATTAATTAATTATATATATTATTAGGTTGTCCCATAAGTCTTTTCATTTTTGAATTTTCGCTGTAATAAGTCACACACTTCTTACTCTTAATAGACTTCAGGATACCATTCGACAGAGCAAAGCAAGCTCTATAAGACGGCATTTACGCTTTCGCACAAGCTTTGGTCTATCTCGAGTTTTAGACCAAAATCTAAAAAGTTTCGGATGGCCAAAAAACCGAAATTTTTTTATATCTTCGTTCAAAAAAATCCTACAAACCTCAAACTTGCTCACATAAAAATATTTCACATCAGACATTCATATGTGCTGCATTTTTTTATCAGCTAGAAATCAAGAAACCGAAAATTTTCATGTTTTTACCAAAGTGATGCTGTGCTGTTCTTACACAAGCAGTTGCATAGTAGAAGCCCTCAGAAGTACTGCAGTAGATTTTTGGCTCTCTATATGCTCTAGTTCACGAGAAATGTTGATTTAAGCGTGAAAAACCCAAGTGAAGAAAGCTAAATTTGATATTTCTCGTGAACTAGAGCATATAGAGAGCCAAAAATCTACTGCAGTACTTCTGAGGGCTTCTACTATGCAACTGCTTGTGTAAGAACAGCACAGCATCACTTTGGTAAAAACATGAAAATTTTCAATTTCTTGATTTCTAGCTGATAAAAAAATGCAGCAACAGCACATATGAATGTCTGATGTGAAATATTTATATGTGTGCAAGTTTAAGGTTTGTAGGATTTTTTTGAACGAAGATATAAAAAAATTTCGGTTTTTTGGCCATCCGAAACTTTTTAGACTTTGGCCTAAAACTCGAGATAGACCAAAGCTTGTGCGAAAGCGTAAACGCCATCTTATAGAGCTTGCTTTGCTCTATCGAACGGTATCCTGATGTCTATTAAGAGTAAGAAGTGTGTGACTTATTATAGCAAAAATTCAAAAATGAAAAGACTTATGGGACAACCTAATACATATTATATATGATATATTATATATTATATATTATATATTATATATTATATAATATTATATATTATATATTATTAGGTTGTCCGGAAATTAATGCCCGTTTTGAATTTCAACAGCAATAAGTCATACACTTCTCTCTTCTGAATGGATTGCAAAGTACCGTTCGATAGAGCAAAGCAAGCTCTACAAGATGGCCATCTTGCTTTTGCAACAGCTCTCATCCACCTCGAGTTTCGAGCCAAAAACTAAAAAGACTCAGCAGCCCAAAAAATTTTAAAAAATCGTAACTCTGTACATAAAAACCCTACAAAAATTCTAACTTGCTCACGTAAACACAATCCACACGCCTTTGCTGTATTTTTCCTGTGTTAGAAATTAAGAAAACGGAAATTTTACTGCATTTGCCAAAGTGATGCTGTGCCGTCCCCACATAGGTAGTTGTGTACCAGAAGCCTCTAGAAGTACAGACTTAAATTTTCAGCTCTTTACAAGCTTTAGTTCTCGAGAAATACCGAATATAGCTTTCCTTAGTTAGGTGGTCCAAGCGAAAATTCAAATTACTCGAGAACTAAAGCTTGTAGAGAGCTGAAAATTTGAGTCTGTACTTCTAGAGGCTTGTGGTACACAACTACCTACGTGGGGACGGCACAGCATCAATTTGGCAAATGCACGAAAATTTCCATTTTCTTAATTTCTAACACAGGAAAAATACAGCAAAGGCGTATATAGATGTTTTATGTGGATTGTGTTTACGTGAGCAAGTTAGAATTTTTGTAGGATTTTTATGTACAGAGTTACAATTTTTTTCGATTTTTCGGGCTGCTGAGTCTTTTTAGTTTTTGGCTCTAAACTCGAGGTG